CCCCATTCTAATCTCGGCTTCACCAAGGAAAAATAGCAATTAAAGTTCATTTATTTAAAAGTGAATCCATGCCTACAATGCAATCCTCGAAAGTATCATATTCCTAAAAAGTGACTGCTCTTACCCCATTTGGGGCATAGAAACAGTGCCAAAAATGACTCCTACAAAAATTCCCTATACTTAGCAAATTAATCCCTTAGTTCCCTAAACATCAAGACTAAGTCAGAAATATTCACGGGTAAGGAAACACGGTCCATTTGAATATGGAGCTCAATTAATTGGATAAACAATAAACGGTCAGGCTCAAAATGGCTTCTCCTAAAGGATTTTTTTCAGGTGGGGGGATGATTAATGGAAAATTCAATGGGTGACTAATGCCTTCATCCTTTCAACAACTATATTACCATGCAAGCAATTTAAGCCTAAACACTTCAAGAATGTCATAAAAGCATAGTCAAAACGCTAGCCAGCTCACAAAGACACAGTTTAAAGAAAAATTTTCATAATTTTGACATGACTTTTCTACGAATATACAACTAATATCTGCGCATGCTAACTCTAATAATCACATGTAACAACTACTGCCCGAATGCCCAATTCACTCCCCCACACTTAAACTTTGGCATCGTCCTCGATGACCAAAAAAATGCACTATGCACAAGGGGGTAAAGAGGATAGGGTCACGCATGCTCAACTTAACTCAAGTCAATATTTCAACAAGCGAGTAAAAGAGTCAAAGAAACTTCCCTATAGCGCTGGTCGGTGCAGAACTAAATTGAGTCAATGATCCTCGGCACATCATCCCTATAACAAGACCCCTGAGCTGCAACAAAAACACAAAGCAAAACAACCAAGCAACAAACAAAGCAAAAGCAAAAACAAAAGCAGAAAAAAAAAAGGTCGGGTTGCCTCCCAAGAAGCGCTATTTTTAACGTCGTTTGCCCGACACAACTACCCCATAGGCTCTCCAATAGCAAAGACTGTAGTGGTGCACTTATAGTCAACGTCTCCAGCTTCCTCTCAACAAATCTCATTAGGTGGCGCAGATCTTTAAATTCGTCAGCCCACGAAGGCAGCACATGGTCTTCATAACCCTCATCAGCACAGAAGTGAAGTATGAAACTCTCATCCTCTTCAGGTGGACAGAAAACATGAGTGAAAACTTTGATTACTCTAGGTATCACCGGAAGCTCAAAAGATGTCTCAAAGCAATGAGTAGGAGCAACATCGTAATCAAACTGCACCATAGAAAAGTCTTCTTCTTCATCTCCAAACATAGGAGGGTCTTCAAAAGCATCAGGAAGTGTATCATCCATCATATTCCCACCTTCGCAGTCCGACTCACTCACATGATCATCCCTATTGGTCTCCTTAGGTTGGGCTTCTGTGTCGCTAGGATGGGATCTCTCGGAATCCTCAGATAAAGCCTTTGCAATCTGCCCCAATTGATTCTCCATGTTTTGCATCCTTGAGTCTGTTTGCTGTTGAATTTGGATTTGTTGTTGTTGAATTTGCATTTGTTGCTGTTGAATTTGCATTTGTTGCTGTAATAATTTCTTGAGTGTTTCTTCCAGGTGAGACAGCTTCTCTGAAATTATCTCTTCCACTTCATCCTGTGGCTCATAGCTCGACAAAGACGTAGGAGTGACTGAAACATTTGTGTTCGTAAATTGTGGGAAGGAAGAAGTTGGGTATGCAGTTACCCAGTAAGGATGGTCGTATGGAGGAATGGGGCAAAGACATGAATGGTGACCATTTTTAGGAAAACAATCAAACAATTCCTCGGGACTTTTAGTTTGAATGAGAAATTCCATTATGGAGCCTGGTTTTGTCCGAGGATATTGTGGATAAGGATAATGATTAGGAGAATGAGATTGAGAGTACTGTGTATTTGGAAGAGGGTAAGAATAGGAAGATGGGAAATTTTGTGGTGTAGGAGAATAATTTTGATGAGATGTGTAATATTGAGGAGGAGGAGGAGGAGTGTACAGAGGGCATGGTGCAAATGGTGAATATTCCATGGAGGTTTGAGGGTAAGGAATTCCTCCAGGAATTTGGCTGAATGAGTTCATCTCATGCCTCTTAGAAAAATACCTGAAATCCTACGAAGAACTAAAAAAAACTAACTAAAAAAATCCTACGAAGAACTAAAAAAAACTAACTAAAAAAAATTCTCGCTGAAATTAATTAACCCTTAAAACCGACACCGTCCCCGGCAACGGCGCCAAAAACTGATGTGTGTTTTCTCGCACTTAAAATAGATCGTAATATAGTGGTGTAAGTACGAGTATCGTCTCCACAGGGACGGACAAAAGGGAATTAAGAATTAACTAAATTCAGCGATTAAAAAGAAAATAAAATAAAAGCGTCGTGCGAGATTGGTTGGTTTGGAAAATAAAACTAATCCGAACAATTAACCTAGGGGGTTCTTTCTAATTAATGACGAAGGGAACAGGGATCGATTCCGGGGTAACCAGATTTCTGGCAGATCAGGCCTAATTACATGAAATTAATTTAATTGAGTCTAGCTAATCATTACTAAGTTCTTACCGCTCTCGCGGCGTAGAGTACAATAATTTAGGGGACCAGGCTGATCTCTCATGCGACAGGATCCTAAATTATTGTCAAGACGAGCGAGCTTACGGCCCCTTAATCGCTACTAATCTCTTAGCGAACGATTAAGTGTGTGTGAATGTGTCCTAGAACAAATTAGATCTCTCTTAATTTATTCTACATGCAATTGTAATTCTAGTCGCGATTCTAGGTTACAAAAGATATCAATTAAATTATTCAAACACAAATTAAACGGCATTCATGCAATTAAACCGAAAAGAATCTAGCCATACATCATGATTAACCCCTTCATCAATCCCAAATCCCTAATTAAAACTACTCACAATTCATAATTGAAGAATCAATAGAATTGGAATAAAAAGAATTAATTGTCATTAATTAAAAAGGTGGAACTTACAAAGAATCCCAAAAGATTGATGAACAAGGCTGAAAATCCCTCTAAATTTCGTGCTAGGTACTCTCTCTAAGCACCCCCTTGAAAACGGGGGTTTATAGGCTGTTTAAATAGAAAAATCGGGTGAAATTTGAGCTGAATTAGGATTTTCGGAGCCAGACACGATGCCAGACACGATCGTGCCTTCGATCGTGCCTCCGGAGCAAAAACGCGCATTTTGGGCAGGCACGATCGTGCCTCCCTCCAGGCACGATCGTGCCTGGCTGGCAGTAACTCCGCGGTGCTTTTCTCTTGAGGCACGATCGTGTCTGACTTTGAAGGCACGATCGTGCCTACTTAACTTCCGAATTTGACAAAACTTCCTTCATGAAAGTTGTAGATAATGAAGTCCTCTATTCACCCCAATTTTCCGATTGTGATTTAAATCATCCAATCAAGAGATATGATCAAAACGGTGGAAGGTGTCTTTCTGAAATCGCAGCAGAGATCATCTGACTTCATTGTCTGTTTTCACCTTCTTCCTCTCAAATTATCGCAAAGGTGTCTTCATATGATTTGTAGCCCTTGAAGTTGGCTTTCCTATGGAACTTGAATCGTGTACATTGGATGTTTCTACAAAGAGATAAGCTTGAACGATTGACATAAGGTCATTCTGATCGTCGTTTTCAAGCTTCATTCATCTTCTTTTGATCCCGAAGCCAATCCTAGAGCTCTTTTTCCTTCAAATCTTCATCGTGAATCTTCCGGTGACCTCCAAATCTATCAAATCATTCTCAAATGCTTCTCAAATCATCCCGATTGTTCCTCAAGTGCAGGTACCGGGCTCAAATTCCCTAATTTTGACTCCAAATGACACAAAACTCAAACCAGCGCCTGTTAAACATAACTTGAGCTAAAATCGAGACTTGCAACACCTTAAAGCTAGGGAAACCATCAAAATCCGATCTCAACACACATCAAATGCGTGTCAAAATACGGACTTATCAGTCAGCCTGCGGGTGACTCCACTCGAGGGTAAGACATGGGAAGGGTGAATTGAATGAGGTTGTTACGCCTAAATGATTTGAAAGACAAATGGGCCTACGGGCTGGATATTTTACTCATATGTATATATGTATACATTTTGTTTTGAAAAGGGGTAGCTAAGAGTTATGCCCATAATTATACTATCACCCTATTTTGAGGGTCTCACGTGAGAAACGTTAGTTATATTACATACAGTTTGCCCTCACCAGTACTTTTCTGTAGTACTGATCCCTCGGGGGAAGCACCCTTTCAGGTTGAAGCTAGAGCTTACTTCCTGCACCCGTTGCTCGGAAGATCGATGGAGAGAAGACGTGGTTCGTTCTTCCTCTGGTTCTATTTCTAAATAATTAAATAATGCTCATGGAACTATTTTGATTTATAAATTAATGGCGCCTGCGAGCTCTTGTTTTACCCTTGTGTGGGTTCTTATTAAACACTTATATTCCACTATGTGTTTAATTGTAGGTTGATGTTGTTATGTATGTTTACTAATCAGTTTTGGCATATGTATCTATCGGACGTCTTGTGCAATTCGGTAAGGATGAACTGCGGTTATTCTTATTGGGTTGTACGACGGTTGTCCAGGTGGCACAGACGAGGTCTAGGGCGTGACAGGAAGAATGGAGGAAGAAGTTGAGAAGAATGATAAAGATGCAGTAGACGAGGGTGCAAGAATAGAAGAAAAAGAAGAAGCAAGTGAGAAAGTTAAAAACAATGTAAATGATAATGATGCTTGGGGAGATATGAACACACAGTTTCTGAATGAAATGATCACAAGTGTGTATGAAGTAGAGAAACAGATGTTAGGGAGTAATTCAAGAAAAGAGAGCACAAATGCCAACATCAATGTGAAAGCGGTCAGATTTTTTATACATACCTTAAACAAATATTTTTTCAAAAAATGAATACCTTAATGGTATATGGAATGTGCTGAGTTGTTTGTGTTTTTTATGTGTTGGGTTTAATAGCAAGATAACGGAAAAGGAAATGAAGAGAATGAGATGAGCGAAAGCAGAAGCAAGGGTGAAGAAGCAGAAAAGGATGTAAGTGTATTTTGGAATTAATTACAAGTATTTGGGAACAATGCCAAATATTTGGAAAAAATAAATTGTAACAAATTACTAAAGAGTATTACTAAATTACAGGTGAAAACCATATGTGCACAAGTCAAGAGACCAAAGCGCAATGCAAGGACCCCAGACCGATATACACCTGCAGAAAGTAGAATTCAGGCAAAGAGAAGAAGGAAGCAAATAGCAAAAAACAGGGACAGTAAATATAGGAGTCCTATTTTGGAATTCCAAACCTCATTTACTCCTATTTTGGGAAATCTCCCTTAATAAAATCACATCCATTAAACTAATCTGATCTGTAGTATGTTTAGAAAAAATAACAGAGATTAAGAATTCAAATGATCCCAACTGTGTTGCATGTGGGAAGGAAAAGGAGCAAAGAGCCTTATGGTCTCGACATCTGCCAGACCACAATCTGAAGCTTGTTGAGCATGTTGCAAAGCCAGAGATATGTTGGGTAAAACCATCTCCTTGCAGTGCAGATGAAGATGAGGCTGCTTGTCACATATACTGCCTCCATTCATCAAACTGAAGCCTAAAGAATCCCACTTCTGATCAGGAAGTCTTTGGCTCGGAAAACCATAAGGTAGATGGTGCTTCAACTTTCTATGAGCTTGCCACCCATATCTATAATCCCCAAGTATAGGCGTTCCCAGTACCTCAGCACAGTGAACACGCAGCTTCAAAGCAAATAAAATCTTGTTTAGGATTCCTTGCGTACGTGCGAGTGTTGGCAGAATTTATTATGGTGGCATGGAGAAAGGTATCTATACCTGGTGCTTTCTGCCAGTAAGGGGAGATAGCTCTAACCATGTATAGCCTGCATATTTTTCAATGAATTATCAAGCAGATGTACAAGATCTATGAAAACAAATTGCTTACTAGACACCATAAATATTCCATATTGTCAAAAAGTTTACTGCACATGAACTAAATGTGAAGTAACAAACCATCATAATAAGATTTTGATCTACTCCTATATGATTGCAACTCAAGTCTCAATATGAAATCGGAGTCAAGTCGATTCATAGTCGGGATGAAAGAATTCTTGGAAACAATACATGAAACGTGCCTTTTGAAAAAAAATTCATGGTCCAGTCAATATATCATTCTGTGAGGTTTGTGTGCTCTTATGAGAAGAAAAAGATTAAAAACTTCAGGACGAAACTAACCCGTTAAATTCTAAAGACATATACTGTCATGTGAAGTAGGGATTTTGTGTATACTGCTATATATATACTAACTCCTCCCCACTCAACTTTTCCAAGTTGATGTTGGGTGTGAAATTAGAATAGTAAAAACTGTGTGGTTCAGATTTGTGCAGAGGAGAGAGAAATCAACTGAACCACAAATTAATTTCTTTAAAAGAAAATTGACAAAATGATTAGTACTTGGTATATACCAAATAACTTAACGAAATAATAAATGAAACTAGAGCAAAATGATTGCATATGGAAAACATTGACACGCTTTGTGCAAGCTTGACTATGTTAGTTCTACACTATGTAAGAAACACTACAACAGGCCCGTGGCAAAAAACAATGTTGAAGGAAACTAGAGCCTAGAGCATAGCTTTTGGACTTTTGATAGATAGTAAAACCACAGCAATACGAAACTCTCAAGATTTAATGGATCGGGTAAGTTCAACATTCATTCAAGCATTAAAATCGAACCCTTTTCAGAACTTTCAATGACCCGATACTCCGTGACAGCAGAATGTGCTGATTGTGCATGGTCATCATCCATGATTGTAATACGGTCAGACTTCCCATTATCCAACATCACCTGAAAACAAAAGAAAACATTTTCTGGGACCATTAAGGTATTGTATCACAAGCGACAACAAATGGACAAATATATGGTTACACCCACTAAGAAAAGTTACTGTGCAGCTTACATTTCCCCTACCTAACTTATGGTTCTACCTAACGTAAGCATATATACATGCAAACATACACACACACATATTAGTAAAGTGTGTCACTTCAAATGTTACCAGACCAAATCTCAATATACGTATCAACGTATGAGATAAACTTTACCTCTTTAAAATCCTTTTGGGGTAAGGTAGATCGAATTTAATATAGCGCCCGTTTGGTAATCCCTATTTTAGACTTATTAGCCTTATCCGATCATTTTTACCAAACACTAAAAAATTTATTGCACGTACCGAATTGATAGGGACCCGGACAGATTTATGATATTAATAAGATAAGAGGGACCCGCGTATGATAGGGTTATTAATAATAATATTAGTAGTATAAATAGAAGGAAGTAAGGAATAAGGAGGAGGTTGTTAGACAGTTAGACTGGGCTGGGAGGAATTGAGATATGGTGTCTCGTTTCTTGTGAACTTTCTGTACATTTTCAACCATTAATGAAAGCTTGGTTTGTTTCTTGAATACTATTCTCTTACTTTGAATTCATTACATACCTGCGTGAGTCCTATCAATAATCATTGCTAAACAGAACGATTTTAGATTTCTCATTTACCTTTTTCCTGTTTTATTACCAAAATGAATTTTAAATATATTTTTTCCATGATTCAAGTCAATTCAGCCAACATTTCAGTAATTTCAGCTAATTGAGCCAATTTGTCCTGCTTCAATTGTAGTAAGTTTATTCATTTGGAACATGTGATATGCGGTAACATGTTTGAAGTCAGTATGACCCATTTATTCACTACCCTAATTGTCTGGTCCAGTTTGACTAGGACGGCATGTTAAAGTATCTCACACGAGGTGTTAAAGAGCCTCACAACGGATTGGACCACACAGGTGTCAAATATATGATAGACAAGTACGAAGTAAACTTCACTTCTCGAATTTCCTTTTGGGTTGGGTTAGGCCGAAAACACATATATACACATATACACACATATATTCCTTTCTAACACATTATTAGACTAAAGAGTCCTTTATTTTCCATTGGCTAAAGGGTCAAATAGGCCCCTGTACCGATCCTGTAAGCTCAATTCAGTCCATGAACTAAAAAAAAGGTCCAATTCACACCCCGAACCGGCAAAAAATGGTTCAAATTTCATTTTTTAGGGTTAAACAACCAGTAAAAAAGGTTCAATTCACACTCCTAAACTATTAAAAAGTGTCAAAATTGCAATAAATCGGAAAAAAAACAGAAACAATACAAAAAATAAAAAAATGACCGGTTATTTACCCGTAAAAATGAAATTTGAATCATTTTTTGTCGGTTCGGGGTGCGAATTGAACCTTTTTTAGTTCAGGGACTGAATTGAGCTTATAGGACCGGTACAGGGGCCTATTTGACCCTTTAACCTTTTCCATTTCCAACAAGAACCCATTTACAATAGCAGAACTTTACAACACTCCAAGTTGGTTCTCTATTTCATATACAAGAATCCACTTATAATAACAGAACTTTATCCTGTCACTAAAATTTGTAATTCAAAGTACAAAATATGCCAGACACTACTTAAATAACTAACTTAAATGAAGAATAGCTAGGGTGCACACTGACCTTTCCCAGTGGCACTGAAATTACTCCTCCAGCACGTCTAGGACAACCAATTACAAGTGCCCAATACTTCTTTTGTAAGTTTCTTTTTGTAGTTTCAGCATCCTTTCAGGGTTGAAAGCAAAACTATGTTAAGATACAAGATTTAGAACAGGTACAATTTCAAGCACTTCAATGGAAATATGGATACAGTTAACCCCGTACAGCATTAGATGCTTCAAATGTTTTCTCTCGGAAGATGGCATGCAAAACTGTTGTGCTCAATTGTGTTCTTCCCATCACCAATATCCCACTACAATCTCTATCTAGTCTGTGCACCTATATAAGAGCTTGGCCAGAACATGTACATAAAAATGAGATTAGTAGTCTAACAAAGAAACAAAGATGATGAGGAAGTGGATCGCCAACACAGAGTGGAAGGGATGAAACCGTAACAGTATCATATACACCCTCATTTCATAATTATGTGTAATAGTTCTTAAAACGGGTGAGGAAGTGGGAACAAACACACAGTGGCAGGGATGAAATTGCAAACATTCAAACGTTAAGTCTTAACAATATCATCTACACCCTCTTTTCCTATTTATATGTGTAAGTTGACCAATTTTTCTTGTTCGTTTTTATTTTTCCATTTATGAAACCTATGCACATTCTTTGTTTTCAATTTACCCTACTCATACCATTCAATATACCCTATTTCTCAAAAGGAAATAAATAAAAGGTAAACTTCTAATGATTAGATTTTAGGAAAGCATTCCAAGTCCTGATTATGATTGATTTCCGTCATTTTCAATGGAGCCAAAGACTCACTATTTTTTGGCTTGAGAAAATGATGGAATAAATCAAAATGGCTCACTAGACTGTTTGCGCTTCTTTGTTATGAAGAAGCAGTCAGTCCATGCAATTTTCGACGCGATTTTCACTATGGGTCATCTGGATACAGTCTCTCTGTACTTTAGTACCCGGATAAGGTTGTGTGCATCTGACCCCCCTTACCCCACCGTAGGTGGGAGCCTTTGCGGCACTGGCCACTGGGGTAATGATGATGATGATTCCAAATCTTGATTAATTTATCACTCCACACATTTTCTTAGAGTGTATGATTTGTTTACACAGACAAATTAACATGAATGGGGAGAGTATAATTAGAGCCATAAGTAATTTGAGCATACCAAACGAGGGGGCTCTGGATAGCCATATCGCATGTATCTTGCAGCCAGTTCATCTAAACTTCTTTTTATGCCTACACCACCCTGTCCAACACACCAATTTCTTTTACAGTTCTAAAGTTATAATATATAGAGTGAGAGAGTGGTGCTCATAAATTTACCTGAACAGGCATCCCAGGGGGTTTATTGACAACAAGAATAGATGGATCCTGAAACATGATATAAGATTTAAAGATTATAAGAAAAGTTAACCTAGGGATTCAAGATATGTTTCTCCTTTCCCTATTGTTTAAAGGGGGTGGGGTCTTTATAGGATTTAATTATCCATACTAGCTCTCAGACCTTGTACAATTCGATACTTTGAAGAAATTTTGAGTGTTCTTCACTACATAGGCTCTCAACATGTTTTTCAGCAGGAAACTTTTCAACTGTTATAGGAAGAACTATTTGATCTCCAATGTACATTGACTCCTTGGCGTTGACCTTCATGGAACATAACACATCATGGACACAAATAAGTATTAACTAAAAATATCTCTTTATGGTAAATCAAGATATGAACATTACAAGATGGTGCATTTGTATGCAGGTGACAAACTCAGTCTAAAGAGCCAAGAGGTTGCATTTACCCTTTTGTGTTGAGGTTGTTGATCAGTAGAGGATACCCTTCGGACCTGCCCCAATAAGTACAACTGATGATTCATAAAGTCTACTTTTGGCATAGTAATAATTTTTTACTCTCCGTATTTCCTAAACAATGAAAACATTTAACTACATCAAATGTGCACTAAGCTAGTAAGGATCAAGTACACCATATGGTGACAGGAATCAGCTATATTTCTGCAACTTTAATCTGACAATTGCTCAAACTCAGAATATGGCGCGTGATAGAAAAACGAACATCACCACTCAAATTTCAAAGATTCACGCAAAATCGTCGCATTTCAACTGAATTCAAAGTTTCTAGACCTGTCTTAATCGAAACAGCTTCTGTACAAGAGACCTTGGCAACTCAGGGCAGCAATGCAGAACCCATTTTAGTGCCGTCATGGCGGTGGAAGGTTTTTCCTTAGCATCTTGATGCCTGCCTGCGAGCTCTCTCCCAAGAGCAGTGCCATCTATAGAAGAAGTGTATGGGGGCAGAGTGAATCGCTTGTCTTTCTTCTTTGCACTATCGGCTTCTTTCACCGCCTCAGTTTTGGCTGCGGCAGTGGAACAGCGGCCTCGGCGGAGGTAGAAAGCTGAGCTTAACGCATCTTCATCAACTTGTAAGGAGATAAACCGCCTGCAAAAAAAGGAAGTTCGGCGCAAGACAAAACGCTCTCCCATAAACATATAGCGTAGAGGGGGTTTTGAGCCTCGGAGGGGGAATAATGCTGGGACTCGAATGGGGCTAGACAAAAATGTAGATTCAATTCCCTAAATAGGACTCGCAAAATTGCACAAATAGGACTACATTTTTTAAATTCCCTTAATAGGACTATTTATGTGTGTTTGGACAAATATACCCTTGTAACTTGTGAAATGTTTTAATTAATAATAAAATCATAAAAAAATAATAAAAATCGAAAAAAATACTAAAAATCGTAAGACAATAATAGAAAATTAATAAAAATATTTTTTAAAAAAATTTAAAAAATATATTTTTTAAAAAAATCAAAAAAAATTTAAAAAATCATAAAATTAAAAAAAAAACATTACCACCCCTGCCACCACCAGCTCCCATCACCGGAGAAAAATATGCCAACATTTTAAATAATGCCATAATGATGGCATATTCAATGAAAATGTTGGCATATTGAAGAATAATTATGCCATCTTTTTGGCATTTTCAGAAAAAGATGGCAGTTTTTTACCAAAAGTGGAAGAAATTTCACCAATCGGAGGTGGTGGTGCTGGGAGGCGGCGGGAGGCGGTGGGAAAGGTATCCATAATTTTTTTCATTTTTTATGGGTTTTTACTATTTTTTATTATTTTTTTAAAAAAAAATTAAAAAAATAAAAATTTAAATTTTTTATTTTATAAATGTTTTATAATTTTTTTATAGTTTTTTTACGTTTTTTAAATATTTTTTACGTTTTTTTATGATTTTTTTATGAATTAAAGCATTTCATTATGAATTAATACTCTTAGGGGTATTTAGGGGTATTTAGGGTAGAAAATCAATGTTTTGTCATATTTAGGGAATTTAAAAAGTAGTAGTCCTATTTGTGCTTTTTAGAAACTCATTAGTCCTATTTAGGACAATTTCCGAAAAATGTATGGAGTTCAACAAAGAACCTTATACATTTTCAAAAAAAAAAACAAAGAACCTCATACAAATCATATCACATTTTCATATAAAAAATATACATACATGTAAAACATAAATGTGCATATGAAAAATTAGAAAACGTGCATTTCGATTGTGCAAAAGTTTTAAACATAAAAGTGCATATTTTAATTTTGTATTGCTCTAATTATAAATGTACATTTCGATGAACAATAATGTGCATCATTTTGTTGTTCTCATTTCTCACGATAAGGGTGTTCTCATTGGAACTGTATCCCTCCTTTCATAAGCAAAATCATAAAATGAATAATTTATGATTTTGCTCATTTTTCTCCATTTATCAATTTCAAACATAACTTTACATTTGTTATTTCACATCTAATATACCTAGTACTCCCTCCGGTTCTTTTTAAACTTCAGTGTTTGACTTCACAGTTATTAAGGAAATAAAGTTGACTTTACTGTAGAGTACACTGTTGAGACACTGTTTGGCACTGTTGAGACACTGTTTGGCACTGTTGAGACACTATTTGGCACTGTTTAGCACTGTTTAACACTGTTTTGATGTAGATTTCTTTGCCAAATAAGGATATAAGAAAGTGTGAAGTTTATTTTGGACCGTCCCAAAAAGGAAAGTGTGAAGTTTATTTAGAACCGGAGGGAGTATTATTTATAGATATTGATGATAGTGGGAACTATAACAGCAAAGCTACTTCATGTATATAAAAGCGTACACTTTTGGGTACGCGTTGGATCGGTCACAAACAATTATGTGTTGGCATAGCAAAGTGTACATTAATTACTGTTTAAATACCAAAGAATTCTACTTTTAAGCTTAGCCAAATCATAAGTAACAAAGGAGCCAAGGAGGTGATACAGTTAGACCACATCTCACACTTAAAAGTCTTCCAAATGTGCAAGTTTTGGATTCAAGTTATCAAAAAAGTGATTTTGATAGCGTAATAAGAATTAACATCTTGTTGAGACTTTGCCAATTTTCATTTTCAGATTGTTTGTGATTGACTAAACGTGTATGATGTCTCTCTCTAAAAGCTTATACCGAACCATAAAATAAAGCTTACTTGATAGTTATACATCATATTTTATTTTGATAGATTCTTTAACAAGATTCGGTCTACCAAAATGCTTCATATTTTTTGTTATATATTTGAATAGTTGATTATGATGAATTCTTTATTTATATAGTGCTACTTTGTCTCATTATAAATTACCAAATCTGATTTTTTTAATTTTTCACTAATGGGAAAATAAATATATTGAAAGTCAAAATTGTATGTTGGCAAATGTGAAAATGAGAAAGTTGTAACAAAAAAAAGAAATGAAGTATATATGATTATTAATTTATCATTGATAATTGGTACTCCATACTCCTTCCATATTTAAAAATTTGCTGCACTTTTCTATTCAGAATGTATTTAAAAGTTTGTTACATTTTTCTTTTTTGGTAAACTTTTCCTTTTAAAATACTCAATTACCATTATTTTTCCTAGTTTTAACTTCTCTCCTATTTTCTCTACAATATTCATTACCCTACTATTTCCCTCTTAAATATTGTGCCAAAACCTAAATTATGATTTTTTTAAATACGGAGGGAGTATTATTTAAAGTTGCTCTTTATTTTACTATTCAGGGTTGATTTGTATTTCTGACATTAAAATTTGAGCAACATTTGGTGTATATACAACTTCAAATAGCCCATTCATTCAGTTAACACTTAACATGAAAGCTAAAAAATCTTTAAAAATATGCTATGCATTTAATATATCAAAATAGAAGCTATTAATTGAATTTCTCTTATTTATATACTCCGCATGCTATATAGCTACTTAACCCAAAAAATGGAGGGTGATGGTCACCCTCTATAGAATTGGATATAGGTAATGTAGTTTTTGAAACAAAGATAGTGACTAGTGGAATCATAATATCATATATTCATATATACAAAGTTGTTTCATATCTGTAGATTTACACACAGAAATAGTGATAAGTGGAATCACTCCAAAGCTTGAGCTGGAAAATTTTGATAGACGAGAGGAGTATAAGTCATGAATCAATCACTTGATAATAACTGTGTGCTTCTGCAATGACTTGAAAAACCCAACAATGCTGTCATAAACATCTTCTTTGGACCGAACACTCAAAAGAAAATCGATGTGGCCATAATCATCAAGATAAAGCAAATCTGGCTTGGCCCTTTTCAATTCCCTGAGTGTGTGTTCGACATCTGTAACATCTGCCAAGGCATCGCTCCCTCCATAGCCCAGCCACAGAGGCAGAGAACTGGGAATCTGACTAAGATCAAATTCTGGAGGCTTCCTTTGCCCATAAAGCTTCATGTTTTTCCACACCCCATAGTCATACTTTGCAAAAGTGCCTTTCCTGATCACTGATTCATTCACAGACAGATGAGAAATTGGACATTGACCCTAACAGTACTGATCATGTATGGGCAGTGAAAGATGAGTTACTTTGGAAAAGATGAACCAAGTTCTTCGTGGATGATGGGTGTGGTTCATAATCAAGGTAGAAGTCAATCCTAGAAGAGTTGAAGCAGCAATCCTTCCCTGCAAAAATTATTCTTCCTCCAGTATATCAAAAGGATGGGTTCTGAGAAAACTGCAAATGCGGCTGGAAGTTCTAATGGACACTGTTTAAGTGGCCAATATTGGGGAATAAAGCAGACCGGCAACATACAATGAGAATATTCGCAATACACTCAAAACATAGATGGGGACAGAAGTTTCATGCACCTCAAAAGGTGTATGCCTTGCCACGGTAAAGACAAATGCTTCTCTGTGACACAGAAGCAAGAACCTCAAGGGCTCAAGCCTATAGTCTCATTTCTAGGGAAGCCTCATTAACTTTATAAAAACTACGGTCATGTTGTTCAAAGAAGAAATATTGGAACCTGTGATAGCTGATAACATGTCATCACAGTTAACATGTCCATCACACATCACATCCATGATGTGAGTAGCAAGGTCACTGAAAGAAACCAATAGTAACAGTAGTATTAATAGAAGTGTCCACAAATAATGCAAGGGTTTAATTCAAGCCACTGAAAAATATCATAGCAAAACCTCTTGAAGTTAAGTTCATGAATCCCCAATGCAAGAAACATCTGTTCAAATGATTAAAAAAGTTATCATAATAAATAATAATATCCACATTATTGACATTAAAACAAGGGGGAGGAGTCCAAATACCTCATCTACATACATCTTGACCATTCTGAGGACAAAAGTAGATGAAATATGATCCAAATACGATATGGGGCAAAGAAGTGCTGCAGCTTCAACCATTACAACTATATCTGGCTGAGTAAAAGCAGCCAAAGAAATTATTGTTCCCTGAAATGGCCGGGAATGGTTAGGAAAAAGACCATGAACCAACATGAAGCTTTGTAGGTGAAAACAATTTATACCTGAGAGTGTCCCACAATAGTGACTTTTGAGTTGGTGATTGTATATACATAGCGTGTCATCTCTGCTAGATCGTAAAGAGCCAATTCTTGCCAGCTCCAGTCCCAGAAATCCTATTTTAAAATTTAAATATTCAATATGAATTGTTGGAACTGCCATGCATATAAGCCACATAGCATAAACTTCAAACCATTTAAATGCAATAATGTAAACTTGACCTTATCTTTCTCAGTAAGAGATACATGCCCATGGCTCCAGCGAGTGCCTCTTACATTTCCAACCCAAACATCAAAGCCACGATCAGCAAGTATAAAGCCCAACGATTGATTCACAGAATTCAGAAACCATGCATCTCCGGCCTGTTTTGAATAAAACTTTGACAAATCATTGGGAAGGTAACTAAACTCATATTCAGTAGTTACTGAAAAAGCAATGCCTATCTTTATCTTGTCGAATTAACTAACACTTGAAAATCCCAGTCGCAGATAACTAATTTACTCCATCAGCAACTGACAAATCTAACTCCAGAAAACGTGGATTCAGATAAGAGCGTACATAGTGTAAGAGTGACACTAATAAATCAACACAAGGTATTGTAGAAGATATTACCATAAAAAGACCGTGAAGAAGTAGAACCGGGGGACCCAATTTTCCTTTGACAATTCTTGAGC